TGAACTAGTATTGTACTAGTCTCGAAAAGAACAGATAGAGCCGCATATTCCCGCAAGATGTTTTACTCTTTTAGATTAGAAATGACAAAGGCAGTTTGGCCACTTTGTGTTGAACTTGAACAAGGGCAATCAGAACCGTCAGTTTTGTGCTTGCATTCCTCTCAATTTGGTTTGATTGGGGAGCTTTAGTGTTGTCTTTATATGAATGTGTAACCATTTTGCATGCATTTGATTCTGTGATAATGCTCTAATAAGGCATGCATATTATCTGCTTCCATACTTCTGTGCTATATAAGATGTGAAGAACAATGAAGAAAAAATATGCCAGTGAAGTACTACAAGCAAGTACGGAGAAACAGCAACATATTTCATGACGAACTTGCTGCATATTTGATTGCCTACCAGTTGGCTACCTGGCTGTTAGCATACAGTAAGCAACAATGAAATCTTTTATGCAATACCATACTGTCCTGGTTGCAACTGCGCTTACAGAGACTATGCAGAGCTCAATGTCTTCCTAGATCATGACAAGAGCAGGCCATCGTCAAACAGCTCCGTCAAAGATTGATCCATGTTCCTATCTGCACTGATTGTCTGCGTCCTCCACAGATCAGTATACCTATGAACAGGGAATGTACAAATTAGCGCATTGTTAGTTGTACAACTAGTTTGATTTGTCGAATACGCAGAACTAAATGTATTATTTGCAATACCACAACACATATTGTTATACTAAATTCAGGATGATCAAGCATTTTTTAGATAAGGGAACAGAGTTCCAGCCTCTACTAGGATGGGTTTTACATTGGCATACAGATAACTTTATCACATATTCAAGATTTAAGATATTGAACCATGACATCCTTGCGTTTGATCTGTGGGCTAGTTTCAAATGTCCATGGTTCCTTTATATTCTGTATATATGTGGATCAAGTATATTAACTATTCTTGTTTTAGTACTTCCCCATTGCAAAAGGCCAAGGTGGTTTTGTGAGATCCCAAAGTCAGATTGAGAATCCTCCATGTTCTGACGAAAACCCGCAGTGCGCGGAGGTGGCACAGGTATGAGGTATTACTTTAGGCTGCTAGTTGCTACAAGTACAAAAGAATCTTAATCTGGTAGTTGCTCTATCAAAGAGCTTGTGTGGATCCATTCCATAGAATCTTATAAGCAACTAAGTTCATAGCCAGGACTACAAGTTTTCCTGTTTATATTATACACATAGTCTTCCAATAGTTCATAGCGCTCTTTTTGTTGTTCCAAGCAAGCTTAAGTCAATGCTTCCACAACATTTATCCTGGAAAATATACATCCTAGCAAACCTCATTTATCTTAAGACAAGATAGATTAGAAATTTTCAGGATAATTTGATACATGATCAATTTGGATTTTAGAATTGTTTAAAGAAAAGAGAAAATTGCAAGGGGGGTCCCCTTGTCATTTTTCCTAATAACTAGTTTTTGGCTAGCCTAACCTTTCGCTTTCTGAAGCAGCTAGTTTTGATATGTTCTCATGTATCCATGCTGTGAGTGAATTTCTTAAAAATTCAAAAGGCATCTGTCATCCAACTGCAATCTGTTCCAACAGAATTAAATTCGCCAACACTTCACCCTTCACTCAGTAGTTTTGCCCTTTGAGAACCCAGAGGTCACGTGTATTCATTAGACAAAACTATAAAAATGTCATTTTGCATGTGTACAAACAGAGAGAGTTAGTTGGTTTTTGTGACATAGATATGCTAGAATTTACCATGTTTGTCTGGTTGCATCTATGAACCTGGGCATTGTTTTATCCAAACTCTTGAAAGTTTTCTAGCTGTTGTCCATGCATTGTTGCAAGTATACACGTAGTTTCCAACCCGTGGTAAAGGATCTCCAACTGTTTATGTGGGAATATTTTCATTTTGTGAAGCATTATCCCTTCGGAATTTCCATCTTGCTGAAAACCATATGCTGCCGTCCCCTTTTCTTTTTCTTTTATGCAAAGCATATGCGACTGTCTTTTGGCTAGTACTCCCTCCATCCCAAATTGTAAATCATTCCAAGAATCTTGGAGAGTCAAACTTTTTCAAGTTTTACTAAAATTATAGAGAGAAACACAAAGATTGATGACATCAAATAGGTATAATATGAAAATATAACTAATGAAGAATATAATGATACTTACTTGGTATGATAAATATTATTATTTTGTTATATAAATTTAGTCAAACTTGAAAAACTTTGACTCTCCAAGATTCTTGGAATGGCTTACAATTTGGAATGGAGGGAGTATAATCTTAGCTGTGGTAGGTCCATGAAGCCACTTAGTTTGATGTTTTCAAATGTATCATTGATGTGACCAATAGCTTAACATCTTAATATGCCCCTCCCATCCACTTGTGTGGTTTGCTTCATTTTTAAGATGTCTACATTTGGACGCAAACACCTGTTTCTAGCGAAACAGCGGCTTAGCTCCAGTTCCACCGTTTGACAAGTAGAAAGCGACAGAACAAGTAATGTGCATGACACAGAGACACGCCGGATGTGTGCAGCACGACAACAGCATCCGTCGCACTATGTTAGAATCTGAAATTCTGCTCCAAAAGTTCCTCGAAGAAAACGCTCTCTCTGCTAAAAAGAAAAAAAAAAGGCTCATGCTTCCTGTGCGATGGTACTTGAGCTGGGTGCAGCCGTACCTAGAGCATCTCCAACATATTTCTTAAATTCACTATTAAAATCTTTAATTAGAAAATCATTTAAATAAAAATTGCCCTCTACATATCTTTTCACTCTTTAATAGTTTCTTTATATCTTGTACGTATTTTGAAGAACTAGACCATCTATCCATCTTTGGCTAGCTAGAAATTAGGAATAGAACATGTCAATATTTGGAGATATAAGAGCACCTTAAGCTCTCCAAAAGACTTTGTTAAACTCACTTTCTAAATCATTGTTTGAAGAGTCATTTAAATAAAAAATTGCTCTCTATATCTTTCCACACCCTCCAACAATTTTTTTATATCTTGTGTGCTCTTTAGAGAGTCAATCCTACTCTCCATCTTTGACTATCGAGCAATTCGGAATAGAGGATGCCAATATTTAGAAATCTATTTAAACAAGCTATTGGAGGACAATTTTCATCAAAATCTCTATTACTAACAATAAAGAAGGATATACAGAGACTCTTGGAGTTGCTCTTAAGAGACTCTTGGAGTTGCTTTATATTCCAATACTCCCCTCAAACATAGAAAAAGGAGTCGTCTATGGTGCGCATTTGGAGAGCTAGCTTGCTTTAAATATTTGGCTAGCGAGAAACCAGGAATAGAAGATGGCACATTTGAGATTTGAGATATAAAGAAGCTCTTGGAGTTATTTTATATTTTAATTAATACTCCCCTCAAACATAGAAATAGGAGTCGTTTTCCATTATTTTATTTTATTGTGTTCACTAGAATCTGAATTTGAAACCTCTAACTATGATACTATATTGATTAGTTCAACTCATACTTTCTTGGTCTCAAAATAGTTGAACCATATGTATGAAACATCAGATGAAACACTTGCAAATATATGTATGACACACTTGAAAATACTTGAACCATATGCTTGCAACATGCATGTATATGCAACATCCATATCAAATTTTGCAACATCAAGATAAAACACTTGCAACATTTGTTTGGAACAAATGAAACATTTGAAACATACACTTGAAACATATATGTATAGCCGTTACAATATGTGCAACATCCCGATCTACTTTTGCAACATCCGTATAAAACACTTGAAACATACATCTGAAACAACTGAAACACTTGAAACATAGGCTTGCAATATGTCTAAAGACGCCTGAAAATACTTGAAAACACACATGGCGGCCATGAGCTACCTGGTGGAGAACTGCAGTGGCACAGGCCCCCCTTCCTGCTAACAACGCGAGGTGGATGAGGGCACAGGCCTCCCCAGGCGCAGGCGCAGTCCTCCCCTGCCTCCCCTTCCACGACGGGCGAGGTGGATGGGGGCGCGGCGCTAGACGGTGGTGCGGTGCGGGCGCATGGAGCAGCGAGGGAAGGGGTCGGGTGCCTCGCGGGAAGGAGCAGCGCGGGACAGGCCGGCCACACGGGAGATACGCTAGAGCAGGCGCTTCATGCTATGGAGGGAGCAGGGAAGAGAGAGCGCCCTGCTATGGGACCTTGCGACGGCGGGGTTGGCCTGAGGTGCGGTGTAGTAAGAGGCTTGGAGGAGCCGAGGAGGACACCACAACCCAAGTGGGAAATTTTTCTTTTTCTTTTTTTAATTAGAGGCTAGTCCGCTGACACGCGTAGGAGGGAGACAGGTCTGGGAGCCGCGTCCGGGACGGACGTCCGAGCCTGAGGGTTTCCGAACTTAAAAATAGTTTTACAAAAACGACTCTAGTAGTTCATTATAGTAGTTTGACAAGACAACTCTACATCTACATGTTCATTTTAATATGGGTTTAGGACTGAGGGTATCCTATCTCAACTCACGCAATCCTAAAAGTCTTCTTTGCTCGCCAATATTGGATTCCTAAGATCCGAGGAGTGGAATTGTGGTGGTTCCACGGGCAAAGGAACGTGGCCTCCAAGGTCAGAGGTCAGAATCTTCGCTTTAGCCAGCCATGCCCGCTTGTCCACCCTGACAGCGACACCAACCAGCTCGCTCTGCTCGCCAACAAAAGTCCCGCGCATCAGACAGAGAAAGCCGCGACGCCCGAGAGCACCGGCGACGGAGCACTCCGCTGCCGCGCGCGCCGGCCGGCCTTCCACTGGATCGCTCCACCTTATGCTCCAAATCTTTATTGGTTTCCACGTTGCCCCCTCGCCGTCTCCAACCATCGCGCCCCGGCCGCCGCGCGCCGCAGCCGCTGCCGCTTCTTGCTCCAGTCGCAGCTAGCTCTATATAAACGCCACGTACGCGCCGAAGCATCAGCACAGCCACGTACCGGCTTCCGGCGGTGAGGGAAGAGGACACTGAGTGAGAAGCAGGCGGGCGGTGACATGGCAGAGGGGGAGTTGAAGCCCGCGGCGATGCAGGTGGAGGCCGCCGAGGCGGCGTCCAAGCCGCGGTTCAGGATGCCGGTGGACTCCGATAACAAGGCCACCGAGTTCTGGATCTTCTCCTTCGCGAGGCCGCACATGAGCGCCTTCCACCTCTCGTGGTTCTCCTTCTTCTGCTGCTTCCTCTCCACCTTCGCGGCGCCGCCGCTGCTCCCGCTCATCCGAGACACGCTCGGGCTCACGGCCACGGACATCGGCAGCGCCGGGATCGCCTCCGTGTCCGGCGCGGTCTTCGCGCGTGTCGCCATGGGCACGGCGTGCGACCTGGTGGGGCCCCGCCTGGCGTCCGCGTCCATCATACTCCTCACCACGCCCGCCGTGTACTGCTTCGCCATCATCGACTCGCCCTCGTCCTTCCTGCTCGTGCGCTTCTTCACGGGCTTCTCGCTGGCGTCCTTCGTGTCCACGCAGTTCTGGATGAGCTCCATGTTCTCTTCCCCCAAGGTGGGTCTCGCCAACGGCGTCGCCGGCGGGTGGGGCAACCTCGGCGGCGGCGCCGTGCAGCTCATCATGCCGCTCGTGTTCGAGGCCATCGGCAAGATCGGGAGCACGCCGTTCACGGCGTGGCGCGTGGCCTTCTTCATCCCGGGCCTGCTGCAGACGGTGTCGGCCATCGCCGTGCTGGCGTTCGGCCAGGACATGCCCGACGGAAACTACCGGAAGCTGCACAAGTCCGGCGACATGCACAAGGACAGCTTCGGCAACGTGCTCCGCCACGCCGTCACCAACTACCGCGCCTGGATCCTGGCGCTCACCTACGGCTACTCCTTCGGCGTGGAGCTCGCCGTGGACAACATCATCGCGCAGTACTTCTACGACCGCTTCGGCGTCAAGCTCAGCACCGCCGGCTTCATCGCCGCCAGCTTCGGGATGGCCAACATCATCTCCCGCCCCGGCGGCGGCCTCATGTCGGACTGGCTCTCCAGCCGGTTCGGCATGCGCGGCAGGCTGTGGGGCCTGTGGGTGGTGCAGACCATCGGGGGCGTCCTGTGCGTGGTGCTCGGCGCCGTCGACTACTCCTTCGGCACGTCCGTGGCCGTCATGATACTCTTCTCCCTGTTCGTGCAGGCGGCCTGCGGGCTCACCTTTGGCATCGTGCCGTTCGTCTCCCGGAGGTCGCTGGGGCTCATCTCCGGCATGACCGGCGGCGGCGGCAACGTGGGCGCCGTGCTCACGCAGCTCATCTTCTTCCACGGATCCAAGTACAAGACGGAGACGGGGATCAAGTACATGGGGCTCATGATCATCGCGTGCACGCTGCCCATCACGCTCATCTACTTCCCGCAGTGGGGCGGCATGTTCGTGGGGCCGCGGCCCGGGGCGACGGCGGATGACTACTACAACCGGGAGTGGACAGCGCACGAGCGCGAGAAGGGGTTCAACACCGCGAGCGTACGCTTTGCGGAGAACAGCGTGCGGGAGGGGGGGCGGTCAGGCAGCCAGTCCAAGCACACTACTGTCCCAGTCGAGTCCTCGCCGGCCGACGTGTGAAACACACACATGCGTACGGTAGTGCCCCTATATAATCAAAGGTCCCGCGTCAGCAGATCATATGTATTGTTACTGAATCGTGGTGTTTATTGTGCATCGGTGTGGTAATTTCTGTGTGAAGGAAAAGCCGATGGTGAATTTCAGCAAAGCCAAAGTGATATTATAAGGGATTGTTCATTTTGCTAGGTGGTTTCAATTTTTCATGAAATATATAAATCAACTTCATTCCAGGTCAAGATCCAATTGAAAAAGGTCATTACTTTTAGCTCAATAAAAGCGACATGAACCCAAGTATGGAATTAGACAGATTATGAATAATAGTAATAAAAGATAAGAGCATCTCCAAGAGTTTGCTATCTCAACTTGGCATCCATATAATATTGGCAAAATAAGAAAAAATAGCCTCCAACAGTTTGGCAAAACAACTTGGCATCAATAGCAACTTGGCAAATCTTCCCTTCAGCGCAAATATACGCACGCGTATACGGCTTGGCATCCGGGGCTCTTCGTTTCTTAGCGGGGCTCTTCGTTCGCTTAGTGGGGCTCTTCGTTCGCTTAGCGGGCCTCTTCGTTTTGTTAACGGGTTTTTTTATTTTACAAAGTAAAAAATGCCAAACTCTTGGAGATTGATTGTTTTTTTACTTGGCATATAATTTTGGGAGTTGACAAATCACAAGATTTGCCAAGTAAAATTTGACAAACTCTTGGAGATGCTCTAAATTCTCGAAATTCTTACGATAACCAGAAATATGTGGCCTATAATTCAACAACCTCTAATCATCATCACCAATAATATATATTAAATCTATTCCTTTTAAAAGATACCTTATATGGCAATATGAAAAATACATAAGATAACTCCTAAAGGCATCTAAATGACCCATTTCTTTCATTATGAAAACAATTTAAAATAAACTCCTAAATTTACATCTAAATTACCCATTTTGTTTTCTCTCTTGTTTCTTCTTCTTTCTTAGTGTGTTGCTAGCTGTCTGTTTTGCCATATTTTGATGTTTTTTTCATAAAATGCTGGCAATTATCCTGGAGTTTTAGTAAAATAATTAGAAACATCTAACCTTGAATTTAGTAGCAAATAATAGCCCTTAATTTATTGTATTTTTCTATAAATTACCCCCTCTCCCCATAGATATGTACCCTTCGAAGCCAAACTTTCTACTCGCAGTTCGTTGTCTCACGGTCCATCGTACTCGAGCCTCGAGCTTACCTTGCACGTACATCATAACTAAGCCATGCTTTGTGCTTCACCTCGTACAAGACTTGCACATGATCAAGCGGGAACGTTGCTTTGATGGGCTTAGGATGCCAGACTTCGAGCCTTTTCTAAAACCATACTCTATTATGGTGCCTATGTTGGAAAAACATATAACTTAATTTTAGAAAAAAAATCTAAATCTGGTTTCGTATTTTTCTGAACCAACCAAAATTTTAAGATTGATTCTGATTTTAGAATTCTTAATTGCATGTTTTTCCTTCAAAATATTTTTATAAATTTTTTAATAATGTCGACTGTCTAAACTAACAAGGTAGTCCGTTTTATATCTACTGTGACTAACTTCGATGGAGGATCGCTGGCATGGTTAACTAAAGAGTTTGTCTATACAATAACTATATGTTTTATGCAATTTCAACACATGAATTTTTTTACACTATAGAATTAAGATCAACAACCTCCATCCTCTAGACAATCATAAATCACAAGATCACAAATCCACAGATCACAAGAAACAATTTTTTCTATAAAGAACAAAAGAACAAATCGGATCCGGCCACACGCGTATACGTAGAGGACCGGCGGTACGCCAAGGACACGTAGCACCACGACGGGCGACGGAGCCGGACCGAATCTTGCTTACATCACGCATTGCATGCCACTCGCACGTCGCACTCGCATCGAAGCCGGGATGTTTGTCGTACGTGCCCTGTACGTACAACTCGTCTGCATACTTCACAAAAAAAAAATCTATGTGTTTTTTTATGTTAAAACACCTATGTTGTATAGCATTTTTGTAACTAAAACCGTTTTCAAAACCGATCCCTATCAGATGGCTTCAAAAGTGAGGGGTCTCAAAATTCGATACTCTAATTGTTAGAGGCAAAAAGAGACTTCAATAGTAGTTGAGTGGGCCTCCTCTATTAGTGCCATAAGTTTTATTGGCCCTCTTAATTTTATAGTTCAAGCTCCGCACACCGCAACTGGTACATCGGGACACCAAGACAAGATGTGCTATCCGGTTATTATATATAATTACTTTGATTCGAGTCGTCGAGATCGGCAGGCAAACTAGCTAGGCCTAGCAGAAAGAGACCTGACTGATAAAACAAAAGATGGACTGTTGACTAGGGGTTGTACCAATTTGGCAGCCGTGAAGTACCCGAATACTGTAGCAGATAAATAAATCGAAGAAGAAGCAGGCGACTTCACCTAGCCCGCGATGGATTAGGCCACCCAGCGGAGCGATGAAGATTAACGTGGATGCTGCGTTGTCAAAAAATACTAGAAGAGCGGCAATGGTGGCGATTGCGAGGGATGGAGAAGGCACTTTCTTGGGTGCCTCGGCTCTAGTCCTGGAAGGCCTCTCGGAGGCAGAGGTGGCTGAAGCACCTGCATGTCGTGAAGGCCTCGCTCCCGCGGATGACCTAAGCCTCCAAACTGTGAGAGTGGTGATGGACTGCGCTAACGCAGCAAGGAGTATCCAAGGGGTTGGTTTCAGGAGCTATGGTCCTATCATCTTGGAGATCAAGAGAAGAATGGAAAGCTTTGCCATAGTTGATTTTGTGCATGAAGGGCGGCAATCGAATTTTGATGCGCATCAGTTAGCTAAGAGCTCTGTTAGTTTAGATTTTGGTAGGCATGTGTAGCTCATCTCTCCTCCATTTGGAGTTTGTAATATAATTGGTGATCAATAAAAGGAGGGGGCTGTTTCTCAAAAAAAAAAAGATAAATAAATCTATTTTTTAGGAAGATAAATAAATGTGTTTGTTCTAAAAGATCCCAACGACCCAACATAACCCACCCTCACACCGCTGCAACCGTGCCGACGATGTGATCAATTCATTAGTCCCTGGACAATTTGCTAACATATCTTCTCACGCAGATCGATAAAACCTCCGAACCCCTGCCCCACCCAAACACAATGGCACATCGTTGTTTGAATTGACAACATAACCTTACTTTTGCTTTTGGCAGTGTTGAATTCACTCTAGTCGTTTTCTTATTTTCCTATCTTTCTCTATCAATTCAAAAATCAACTTTCTTGAAATCAAAATAATTTGCCTTTTTAAAGTGATGCTAGCTTCAATGATACCTCAGTTACATAGCCTTTGCCAAGTTCAACTGGATAATTTATTCTTACTAGGTAAATGCACGTGCGTTGAATAGAAAAAAAATCATACCACAATAATTCGAGTTAAACGTGAGTGTAATGTTCGCAACATTCCATTTGTAGTCAATCATCAATATTACACGAGTTTTTACAAAGAATGAACAATTGCAATACGAGTCAAGTTTTGATGTGAACAAATATAAGTATCGAGTCTTAATAGTACAATGAAATTGTAGTACATATAATCATTGTTCTAAGATAATCACTTAATTAGACCATGGTGGCAGCGACAGAATCGATCTGCGCCACCACGATGAGAAATACCTGGGAGTCGTATTCAGCAGGGTAGAGATGGGTCTGCTAAAAAAAAGCAAGGTAGAGATGGGAGTTTGGTGGGTTTGCAGTTCTTTGTCAAAATGTGCCAAATTTTGCCGAATCTGCGCCACCACGATGAGAAATACCTGGGAGTCGTAATCACTTAAAACTCTGGCAGACGTCGCTAGTACGCGGTGAAACAAGTGTAGAGTTTTCTAGTAGCAGAAAATTAACAACACAAGAGTTCATTCTCAAAAAACCATTTTCTTTGTTAGATGTCTTTTTCGTCAATAGCAGCCAATGTTCCTCTTCGTACTCTACCTACCTACCCAAACCCGTCTTAATAATCCTAAAAAGTGTCTCTTGTATATATATATATATATATATATATATATATATATATATATATATATATATATATATATATATATATATATATATATATATATATATATATATCTCTACCACCTAAAAAATAACTAATCCTATTGTCTGCGCACGCCGCTCGTAACCACGCCCACGATACGGCCTAACTAATCGCCCCGCTCCCCTAAGCCGGGCTGTGTTAGAGTCCGGTTGCTCGGACGCTAATCTCGTGCCGATGATTTTTCCCGCCCTCTCGCGCGCGCAACGGCATCGCTTATTTCTCCTATTTCTCCGACTTTCCCGCCCGCTATTTTTTCCCGTAATTTTTTTCCTACGCGCTTATTTCCGTAAATTTTTTTCCTACACGCTTATTTATTCGAACAATTTATTTCCGTAATTTATTTCTCATAATTTTTTTCCTACGCTCTTATTTCTCCTATTTTTTCGTAATTTATTTCTCGTAATTTTTTCCTACGAGCTTATTTCTCCGTTTTTTCCTATGTGCTTATTTCTCCGGCTAAAGACAATTTACAAAAAAAAAAAAATTCCTACACACTTATTTATACGGACAAATTTTTTTCGTAATTTATTTCTCCGGCTATAGAAAATAACAGACATTTACAAATCGCAAAATAGTGAAATTAGTGAGGGTGCAATGGTTTGAACCCATGACCCCATGGTCTAGAACATCAATCTCCTACCATTACAATATATTAATGTTTGTAATAAATATAAAATATTTTTATTATTAAACCATATCAAGTTAGAAAAATATATCACACATCATTTTCATAAGTACTATATGAATACTAAAAAATAATCATGTAGCATTAAACTTATATTATGTGCGCATCCAAAAATATATCGTAGAACATCACATGTATGTTATATGAACATCACAAAAATACAATCACATGAAATACTATATGAACATCAGAAAAATAAATCTAGAACATCGCATATATACTACGTGAA